TCATCATGAGCTGACCATGAGAACCAATGGAAAACCTGGGAGTACTGGACAGCTGTTTCATCCTAGTTTGGGACTCTTCTGCAGTACGCACACACCACAACTGTTCGAACCCAGGACCTTCTGGTTACAAGACTAGCGGGCTCGTATACCATTGAGCCACTGGGACCCGACCCAATGGCCCACGAATTCTGACTTCCGCCAATTCACGATATAACGCGACCCTAGCCAATGTCTTCGGTAAGTATTTGTCCTCACACCCAACCTGCTGCACCCTACTGGTCACGACTTCTCACTAGAACTCCAGGTAACCACCTACCTGAATAGGGCCAGTCGCTAGTGAGCATCTCATTGATATTCAAGTTTGGTTTGTAGACATTTGATTGGTTACAGGATTTTCATCATGATCTGACATTAGTCAGACAAATTGACATATTGAGACAAAAGGATCAATTACTCTTTAGTTTTTTGTATGTTTGTTCACCTGTTCTAACCTTAAGCCAACTGCTTATATGCATCTGTCTATCTGTGTATGTATGCATTTGTGTCTGAGTGAAGAAACGGGCATTAGAAAAAGAAAAGCTATTGAAAAAAATTGTGACAAACATATTGACAGAAGGAAACAGAACACATGAAGGAATTGATAGATTTCATATCGATCGGGTAGGATATGTGTCAGACAATCACCCACAACTTTCAACGACTTTCAGAGTTATCTATTAATTACAATAACGCCTTCAACACAAAAAGAATACAAGAGATCATAAAAATAGTTTGATATAAAAGCATCAAGATCATCAGTCTCGTGATTTCTACCTATATTCCAGTAACAGTAATAGTAGTAGCAGCAGCGGCAAAAACGATTGTCATCGCTTCTAATGACTCACACGCACCAATATCTATTTAATGCGTGCATCTTTTTCAAACAGACAAAGCCTACCGACAGCAAAATATTAGGAAACATACAACACCATCTACAGTATAGCGAAAATATTCATTCAGACATCTATAAAACACAAAATAATCGAGCAAAGAATATTCTTTTCGATAAATTCCTCTTCTGGCTCTACAATTATATCTATATGTTTATACACACAAAATATTCAAGATTAGTAGTTAATAACAATATTAAGAACACAATCCCTACTGCTGCCTTGGCCGTAGAGGGATAGACATTTATTTATTTTATTATTCTATGTACTTTTCCCTTATTACTTCGATTATTATTATTATTACTATTATTATTACGACTCTCATTCTGAATCTTTTCCACTTGATCTACTTGACATTTTAAACCAAAAATTATTCATGTGTATACTTTTTATCTTTATTTTTACAATATTAAATTCTGTTATCAAATTTCACACCATGTTACGTAACATTTTACATTCGTCTATTAATCTTACAATTATATGTCTCTCCCCAAAATCTGTACACCTAATGTATTATCTTATATATGACATTAATTATTGTTCCACTTGACTTAAACTATGAAGTTAATCACAAATACTTTAAATTTATTTCATACTATTATTATTTCATGTATTTACACCTTTGACCTAATTCCCTCACCGGATATAATTTCTTTATAAAACCATATATATACGATTGTACAGCTTGATAATAAATTCGTTGAAAAGAGTCTCTTCGCTGAAAATTGTGTTCTTAATGCTACAATGGGAATTATTAAATTATTGAAATAACAATATTAGCGTTTTTTACATAATATCGATTTGTAAATTATGATCAATGCAATTACAGTTCACTAAAAATACTTAAATTATAATAGTAATAAAGATGTAATAGCGAATAGAATATCAACTAAGACTATTCAAAAGATTATTCAAACCTGGATGGCCAAGATAACGATAATGTCTGAACTAACGTCTTTTGGACGCACAAATTAGGCTTCTTAATATGGCTTCCAACAGCCTCAACAATATTTAGTGGTAGAACTCTCAAGGCGAAATTGAGATTTCTTGGTATCCGGTAAATAACTCTAAAAGCCTGGTTAACATCAATCTTGTGTTCTGTATCCACAAGATGAGATGGAATAGCACTACGAATAGATTATGTTTGGCTTTTTCTTAACCACCACGCAGGGTGATGTTCGGAAATTCGACGAGAAACACGCCTAATTGTGCGGCGGCCTATGTAACTGGCTCACTCCACAGGAGCAGTTAAATTGGTAGATGCACATGCAAGAGGTGAAATTAGGCAGTTTGTCTTTTACTCCGGAACGCAGAAGAGGAGTGGTCTTAAAGATACAACGTAATTCAGCAGTAGGGAATGCTCGTTTTACCGCCACATTTCGAAGGCGCTGTGTTAGTATCTCGCTGATGTTGTCTCCAAGGGACTGCAGATTCAGATTCTTATCAATAAACTTTTCAGGATAACCATTTTCACTTAGCAACCGTTTAATAGTATTCACTTCTTCATCAAGGCATTCATCCGAGCAAATCGCTCTTGCTCTGTGAACCAGGCACTTTATCAAATTGCGTTTGTATTTCAAGGGCACAAAACTCCGAAAATCTGTGTACTGGCCCATTGATGTAGGTTTTCTATAAACACTTCTTATTGTGTCATCCTCTTTTCTGGTCATAAGGATGTCTAAAAATGAAATATTAGAGTCTTTTTCTTTCTCAATAGTAAAATTTATTGCAGGATGTACCTCATTAAATATATCAAGGATGCTCTTTGCTTCCTTCTCGTTTTTCATAATCAAAAACGTATTATCCATGTACCGACAACAATTGTACCATCTACAGTGTTTCCCAACAAACTGATATTAGTTAGAGAAACACTGAGATATCACCAGGGACTATTGGACAGCTGTTTAGTCTTTGTTATTTGGTTCTCCTCATCTGTGAGGTCAGTTTTATAAACCATCCAGCCAATGGAATCTGATTCAATGATTCATAAATCTCATCTTCTGTTAATTCGCAATACCTACAAGGCATTTCATACAATATAAACTTGAACAAAGCAAGAACGATAAATGTGTACCAGGATTCTTCTCGACTACCTACGATCTGAACATTAAAGAAACTACCAACTACATTCGAGATTTGAACATACTTTTTTACGCAATAGTATGGAGTAATTGATAGGAATTAAGAGCAACACTAGTCCAGAATGATGTTAGTTGTTAAATAATTTAAGAGGACTGACTACTTAGAAGATAACTAGACGAATATATTTGGAGACCAAGAATCGTTTGGGTAGAAACAGAATTTAACTAGAAAGAGTATAACAATAGTATAGATTAAGTAACTAGTAGATGCAGACTAAACGCTGCCCTGAAAAGAACATATCCACCTGCCAAGCAACAACCAAATAGTGGACAGACTCCCACCTTATGTTACTTCTAACTGCGTATACCGACTTACAACATGTAACGCGTCAGAGCATATACATTAGAAGAACAGAGACATTTATAGTCTGTATTTCTGAATATATACCAAAAAAAACCTGAAACTAAAAGACTTACATGTATTAAACAGTGCGTTTGCGCACCGTTCATTGGATACTGGTTGTATTGTGAACAATCTGAAGGTGTTCACAATAATCAATAGTCAAAAGAAACCTAGCTTGTTATGTTTTGCTGAGCCCGTCGCTATGAAACGATTAAAACAAAACATATGTGAGTGAATCTTGCACTTCCTTGGTAATAAAAAAGTATACAAGCTTACTACATAACCTTCTGTCCTGTTTGAAAAATCTTATTATTTCATCTGAATATCATTCACACAACCTCCACGTTACTCTTTATTCCTCTATGTCATCGGGTTAAAAAAGGTATGTTCAAATCTCTAATGCAATTTTTGTGTTTTCCAGGCTATAGCCAGGTGAGAAGACCCCTTGAAATAATAAAAGATGACCTGACATTAGTTAGAGAACCATTGGAAAACCTGGGAGAACTGGACAGCTGTTTCCAGGAACCCAGGACCTTCTGGTTACAAGGCGAGCTCGTATACCATTAAGCCACTGGGACGCGATCCATGCGAGCTCGCCTTGTAACCGGAAGGTCTTAAGTTCGAATCCCGGTGGGTGTGTACTTCTGAAGAGTCCGAAGCACTAGGATGGGGGAAACAGCTGTCCAGTACTCCCAGGTTTTCCAATGGTTCTCTAACTAATGTCAGCTCATGATGAAATCCTCAAACCAATCAACCAAATTTCTACAAACCAACACTTGAATAAAAGATGAGCTTATAATACTACTGTAGTACACATATGTCATTCTTGTTTTGTTCAATTTTATGTATAATATACACGACGACTGCCAGCTAGTTTCATTAGTGAGTAACTGTTCTCTTACCTGACTATTTACTTGGACTTCTACTGGTTTTCCAATGGTTTCTCTCTCTCCGTCCCTCTGTAACTGATGTCACTTCGTGGACAAAGTACCTGTAATCAGTCGAATCGCTTCAAATTAATACAGTAGTAATAGCGGTTTTTTTTGCTTCCGTCATTTTTAATGGACACAGAGTGAAGAGGAAGTGAACAACCATCAAGTAGAGGAGTTGCATCAGTGGAAGAAAGGCAAGATGATAGAGATGAAGGCAAAGATGAGTGAGGACTAGAGAGGTTTTGTGTGCATTTCGGATTGTGAGGACGATTGTTACTTCCCGACTGCCCACACCGTGGAAGTTGGTTGCGTGACCGGAGAGCCCAGGGGACAACTGCTTGAGGTCGGTTACACGCGGCCTGTTTTTGTTTTGTGTCTCAGCAGCATATTTATCACTTCTGCCCTGTGACATGGCAGCAGGAAGCGCGGTCGTTGTTAATCCGGGCCCTGACCGATCCGGCATGATATTTTGTGAGTTTGTATGTATCATAGTGCTCTGGATTGGGTAGCTGCTTTTTGTCTGATTGCTATCCAAACAACCTGCCTGTCATGGCAGGACCTCAAGAGAGACATAAGTCTCAGCCAGTATAGCTTGATTAGGTCATTGCGGTGTTCAAGCCCGACCACCACACGTCAAGGTAGCAGCAACTAATAATCGAGAATATCATTATTTATTTATTTATTCATCATAAGCGTAATGTTGAAAAGGGAAGTAAACATGAGGAGATAGATACATAAAAGTGAAAGATAGGGAGAGAGAGCAGTAATCGGATAGGTAGTTTTAAAAGAAATACAAGCTATCTCATTATTATAATTATTTATCATTATTATTATTATCATTATATCATGACTACTGTTATATTTGTTGGGTTTTTTTCATATTATTTATTGTTTTCCTGAAATCATATAAATAAAGTAAACCACAGTAAATATGAAAAGAACTAGAGATTCGGGAACAACAAACAAACAAACGAAAAATTACCAATTACAATAATTATAAATATTAAGTAATATAAATATAATCATACATAATCAGATTGCATTTATAAAGTGTTACAAAGTAATAAACTCTCTTCTAACACTGGCCATTAATTGTATTGAAATTATTAAAAAGAAGTCGACAAATATGATTGATCTCGATGGATGGATGGATGACAGGCTGATTGGACGGACAGCGCTAGGAGTAAGGATGAAAGAAAAAATAAGCCAACAATTCAAATTAATCAAACAACAATCAAAAGAAAAAAAGGGGGAGGTAAAAACGACTGTAGACAATGAAGAGAATGAATGTGTTTGAATATGGTGGGGTGGTGGTGGGGTCGCGGTGTATGACTATCTTTGGGAGAGAATGAAAAGCGAGGCGGGGCGGGAAACAAACAGTGGTTGGACTTTATTTTGTTTAAAGAATTCAATTTCGGAGGCGACAACAACAACAGCAGTAGAAGAAGAAGAAGATAAAACAAAGGCATAAACAATCTCATAGTACATCTATCTGTATGGTACACACAGAGGAATATAAAAACAAACGCTCAGGGATCATGATGATGAGCGAATCATGTCAATTTTCTGATGAACACAGAATAGATGGAAGTTTATAGGAGCTAAAAAAAATCAAAACCGAAGGGAGACAGTCACACTAAATAACAAACTAAATATGTAATTGTGATCCCCCCAGGTGGTAGGTAACAGACTAATAGTGGCAATAACAGTATTGATAGTAATCCAAGCAATTATATATATATATGTATATATATATATGCAAAACGTATCAGATCATGATTCATTAAACAAGAAAAATCCCAATTAATATTGGTGATAAATAAAATAATAATATGATAGAGAAACGCAAAATAGATAATAATTTTAAAAAAAAGACAACTAGAGAGGAAAATTTGAGAACCATGTAAAATCACATAATACATGATCATCAATTCTTGTGATGTACACACACACACATACATACAAACAAGCATACAGATGTATATAACTAAAAAGATAATAGAGATAAAACTGACTGACTGTTCGGAGACAAAGAACCGGTTGGTAAAGCGCAGAACACAAACACACACACAGAAAGGAAGGTGTTTTGAGACTGACTAGTTTAGTTATGCGTCAAATAAATAATAACAATATTTCATTAAAAACAGAAAAAGACAAGAGGCCGAAATACAACTGACAATGGCCGAGAATCGATAAATAACAATAGTAATAATAATAATAATATTTGATAACATCATACATCATACATATATATAATACACGTTTATTAATTGGTTTTGATAAAGTATAAAAACAATAGAAGAAATAGGTTTTTTAAAGGATTGCACGAATTAACTTCAATTTGAGAGTTATATATTATCACATAAAAGTGTGTTAAGTGACATATAAGCAGATAGAAAGAAATTCGAAAAATAAAAGAGATTATTACAGGAATGTATGTGGTTTGCAGTGCAGCAGTATGTAAATAAATACCCTAACTACTAACATCAAGGTAGTGCAGAGATACTGACTGACTCACTGACAGACAATCGATCCAATGAATGAATGAATGCAGCACATCAAACAAATACACGAGGTTTATTCTGTTGCATAGCTAACAGTGCCTGTGTAGCTTCTTGTTGCTGTTGAAGAACCAATTGAGATGCATAAGCTTTCGGTTGCATAAAACCAACTATTTCAGTGTAATGCGATGATTCATCTCTAGGCAAAAGCATTGGATCAGTCGCGAGAGTCGAGGAGTAACCATCTCCAATATCACCACCACCACCACTGGCGATATTTAAACCTTGTGGTACAGAAGCAACCATCGGTCGTGGATATCCATATCCCGCTGACTGTGTACCAGTACCACCGAAAAGAGTCATTGATGAGGTGCCTACACCATCACCAGATAGTGAAGTACCAACACGTCCTCCTTTCCGTGGACCCAGTGTAGCCGCCTGCTGACCAGGACGAACATGATCAAATGACAATTCCATATATTGTAAATTATTACTATCTGGGATTGGATCTCCACTACCGGGTAATTCATTTGGTGACTGGGCATAGACTAAGTCATAGGTATAATCAGTAGTATCACTTTTGTAAATATTATTCGGTAGATTAGATATTGTCCCAACCGTAGTGCTTGGTAGTGGCGTTGGTGCAGCAAACGACTTTGTACCGCCTCGAGGTTGCTCCTAAAAGAAAAGGAATAAAACAAGAGAATAAATAAGTTGGGCAATCAATAAAAAAAACGGGAATCACACTCAGAGCTTCAAGCTGGATTTTGGGGAAAGCCAAAAAAATTAGATATATTAGTACGACAAATCTCATCAATGACATTTAGCAAAATATGAACACAATATACCGACAAAACCCGTTAACAGCAACACCAACACAGACAAAAACAAAAATAAAATCGGAAATGATATAATCTACAATATACAGTGAACAACAAACAAGATTACAAACACAACTAACTACATGAAAATTAAGCGATGAAAGGAATATGAAAAAATAAAAAAAGGAGAACTCGTTCAAATAAATTTTATCACAAATGTATCTCGAAGATTAATTGTATTCAACAACATAAAATTTGATCTAATCGAACTCGATTAAAATGTTGTGAAGCGAGAAGCGAGGGGGTGGGGAGAAAAAGAACTAAAATACTGTGTTTATCAAATCAATGAAAGTTATTCACTTTATTCTCTATGTTTTTAGAACGAATCGAATACATGCAATAAAATTAATCGCTTATTATTTTGTTGTTAAGTCAATTTTGATTTTCCCCGTTGAATAAATTGAACCGAAATATCTGATCTCTGTTAACGTGTAGGCGCCTAGTACAACACAACAACATTTCGACAATGTCTGAGGGTTAACTTGATGTAATTTGATGGATGATATGATCAGGCAGTGAAATCCGGGATGCGAATTTCGTCCTAACTCGGGACGCGTATTAATTAACTGGATGTGCCTGAATTCCCTAAAGCGAGATAACAATGTTGGCATTTGAAAGGAAAGCGGCAGAATTCGAGTACCAGTAGGAACACAGCATTACTCAATAGCGAAGGCAGACACACCTGGTTGATGAGTCCTACTAAACAGGACGAAATGTGCATCCTCGATCCCACTGCTAGTCACCATCCCTCAAGTTACATTATAAAATGTTAATCTCTACTACATATTTCGATTGCTTAGAAATTTTTTTGTTATAGTGTTACCAAACAACTACTTGCTATTGTAAAAATTATATTTGTAAAATCTCAGAGAAATTGAAATGACTAATTCCAACGTTTCGTTCGGCAAAGTGGTCGTCTGAACTTCTTTAGACAGAGGTTTATATGTACGGATTTGACTTGTTTTTTGAATTTCACCACGGATTGATATCAGTTAGAGAACCATTGAGTACTGGACAGCTGTTTCCTTCTAGTTTGGGGATCATCAGCAGTACGCACTCATTGGGGTTCGAACCCAGGAGCTTCCGGTTACAAGGCATCTCTTGTTTTTTTAAAAACTTTGTCTAACCACATGAGTCATGAAACAGGCACTAAAATATAATAAACAAAACTGTATGAATTGGGATCGAAATTTGACCTCAGATTTAAAAATATTAGTCTACTTTTGTTAAACACTGTAAACAGTGTATAATTCTTCATCAGATTTTTAGTGATTACGTTCCACCAAAGTCAATGGTCATAGAGAACTGCGTATGAAAAATATATATGTGTATATGCCGCATAGAATTATTATATTTTGATGCCTGGTTTCATGACTTATAAGATTGGACAAAATTTTTAAAAATAAGAGATTTTTTTATACATAAACCTCTGTTAATCTAATTTCGAGTAATTTCCCTGAAGAAGTTTGAACCAATTTGCCGAATGAGACGTTGGAATTAATAATATCGATTTCATTAAGATTTTACAAATATAATTTTTTACAAATGTCTACTTCTTACCCGGCGCTTAATTATTTTGAAACTATTCGGTCAAGTCCTGATCACAGTTCAATATGAACCACTTTCTATTCCATGCACACTGATATGTATCCATATAATATGTGTGTTTGTTTGACAGTCTAATATATTTTGCTATGTATATATGGATCGATATTCCATGTTAAGACTGTCTATTGATTTGTTCATTTTGAATATTCGCTCAGACACTTGTTCGGACATTCATATTTTGCTCTCACACACTTGTGTGACATTTTGATTCTCCTTGTGTTTGGAAAATAGAAGTATCATTGCAAACCTAGTGGTCTTCTGATTTCCGTCTTTCTTGCGTCAGGACCAGTAAATTCTCGACCAGTACATAACACACACACACACTACTATTTTGTGTAGTGTGACGGCCAGTGACACTTACAGCCTGGTTACTGTCAAAAAATCTCGCTCGGCCAAGTGGGGCGAGGTTTGAAACCATGAATCACCCAATGTTTGAAAATCAAGCGATAAAAACCAATGAACCAAAAGTCCTATAACTGGTTAGAATTTAATTTCAAAGGAGATAGATAGGCAGAGAGACCAAAAATTTACAAAGGCATACACTATGCGAATATTCATGGAATGTTGGATACATAAAAACCCACACTAAAGCATTTGAAGACTGAGTCAGCAAAAAAAGAAAACGCGTACAGCACACTACCTAACACAAAATCTACAAAGATTTGTTGAATTAAGGATAACAAAACAATCGAAAATCAACAGGAACTATTTTCAGAAGTGATTTATACGGTAAACTGGTACATATATAAACTATTAGACAATTATTATAAATTTCAAGGTGTGGAAATTTTGAACAGGCTTCAGACTTTTATCAAAAGCTGCCTTTACTACATACTGAGGATCAGATGGGCAGGAACGATTAGCAACAATTAACTCTGTCTGTCTGTTTTCGACATAGAACTTTGCACATATGTGCACCAGTTCAAGTCACCACACTCCCTCCTTGTAGCACACAGAGCAGGAGGAGAAAGTACAAGAAAAGCATAATAGAGACAGTGAGCAGAGGTGTGAGACAAAGGGAGAGTGATAACGAAGAACAAAACAGTTTCATTGGAAATCATAAGTCACAAGGAGTCGATGCATCTGCGCCACTGAGAACGATTTTGAGCCATGTCACCAATTGTTTCCAACCATTGGTTTCTACCGTCCCGAGGACCCCAACCAGTCAGGAAGTCTACACCTTCCTGACTAACTGTTGTAGATTTCACTGATTGGTGCCAAGTTTTTGTTTGATCGCCGCTAGCTTTTTTCCAGCCTGACCCTATATCCGCTAACATTGCTAGTCGGTCGAGGGAGGCGATGACTAGGCATGCATACGTAACACATGTCCTAACCATCTCAGTCTCTGTAACTTCACAACTTCGTCGATTGATTTCCCTTGTTTACCTAGAACTCGACGCCTAACCTCAATATTGCTCACCTTATTATACCACCACTTCACGCGGGAGATAGAACGCAGGCACCTATGATCAAAGACAGCTAATCTTTTCATGTCTTCCACTCTCAATGGCCAGGTCTCACAGCTGGCCATAAAGGAGGACGGAGCGGACTGATGAGCAGTACACCCGCCCTTAGGTCGATAGTCGAATATCTCGTCTACTAAGCCAGAGACGGCGTAAACTGGCAAACGCGAAACGAGCCCCCTGTATCCGTGCTGAGATTTCGTCAGAGATCAACCAACAACCTACCGCCCAACAAATTAACCGAAGGAAATGGAGATGGATCCAACACACGATGAGGAGACCGATGAGAGTGATATCATGCTCCAAGCCAGCCCTCGAATGAAAACCCAATAGGAAATGACGAGTTGGGCGTAGATTCGAGGGTGACATGCAGGAAGGAGATGAGAGTCTATGGAATAATCGTGAAGTCAGCTGAAGACAACTGCAGAGAACAGGATGAAATGGAAGAGTACTGTCCTATATTCCACTAAGAACCCAAGTGAATAATAATTATAATCGGGGTGTGGATTTGTGGCTAAACCTACCCAGTAGGTCAGGGGTTCCAACCCTTCTCCACACACCACGACTGAAATATCACTAGCTCTCACACTATAGGTTTGCGGCTCATTGTCAACTTCTAAAGGATCACAATAAACCCTAAAGTCAACTTTGATTCTAAATGCTATCAGAATACCGTTATAATTTCTTCAGAATGAAACGATTAACAAATGCCCTACATCACAGTTGCTTTCCCAGTGAGAAAATCATTCATTTTAAACACTGAAATCACTTGTAAACCATTTAAACAGTTTACTTCAGCTCAGTATATAGACTGAACAAACACTTGACTTCCAGGATCTTATTAATTGATGTTACTGACTGACATGTTGCTAAGCCATTCAGAAAAAAAATTGAGATTATGAAAAACTAGAATTTTGACACACCAAGCATCTACAGAGATTTGAGTCCTTTACACTAAACATATAAAAATACTTCTTAACATACAAACTATAAGACAATAATGTTGAAGCTATTTTGAGGAAACAGTTAGGTGTGAGGATGTGCGATAAATAATGCAGCAACAAAACTAAATGACTAAAAGACTGGACAACAGAGTAAATTTATAACGATTTAAAAGCCATAAGAACAAAACGACTGAAATATCACTTAAATGTGTTAACTAATTCCAAAAGGGAATAGACAGGTCGGGAATCTTAGACACAGACATTTCAATTTTAAATCACAGATTAACAGTACGTTAGATAATCATTGAAAGCCAGGGTGTACGTAATGGATGACTGTTTCTTCCTAGTGTTCGGGAATTTTTAGCAGTACGCACCTCTATGAGATCACCGTGGTTAGAAGCTAGGATTCATGGCGGCGAAGTGTGATTCCGGTCCCAGTGACTGAATGATCAATAAGCTCACCTTGTAACCTGAAGGTCTTGGGTCCGGTCCCTATTCGATGAGGTCATGGGTGCGTAGGATTCCTGGCTTTCACCCAGGCGACCCGGGTCCGACTCCCGGCGCGGGAGCGCTTACGCCGGTGGTATAGCGTAAGACGCTCGCCGACCATGCACATGGTCCGCGGTTCGATTCCCGTCCGACGAACTCCTTTACCTCGCTAAGCCAGAAATAATGCTGATAAAGAGGAAAGGTTGGGCATGAGGCTAGCAACCCCAACCTGTAAAATAAACACTGCTACAGAAACTTCAGGCCACTGGTTTGAACCCCTATGTTCCACTGGG